AGGGAATCTTATCTTGCATGTCATTAAGTTGGAACTGACTTCTAGCGTCTTTCAAGGTAAGTCTCCTGAGCCCTAATCTGCCACTATATCCATTACACTGCACTGGGTAACTCTTACAAATTAAGACTATTGTATTAATTTACTTTCTTTAAAAAAGGAACCTTCCAAACTACTAGAGGAAACTTCAGCTCAGTATTTTTTTCATCATAAGTAAACCAAAGTAACAATCCTGAGAGGCCTCCTTGCTAGGTCAGATTAGATCTATCTAGTCTAGCAGTGCCTACAACCATGCTCAACAACTACTATACAGAAGCTTTTAAGTACGGTATCATGCAGATTACTCCCCCCCCCAACTTTACTCCACCATCTAGTATTGCAGATGAGGAACTATTACTTTTTGAACTACATCTGTTATACTCGCCTAACCATGCTAACCCTTCCCATATTTTAGAAAGAAATATTATCTCTGTTCAGATGGTTTCTACTACTGACTATCATGGCTGAATAAGCTTATCCTTTCTGAATCTGTCTAATCCTTCTCTAACTTTAGCGACCATTCATGCTCATCCCACAAATACACAAAGCAAGAAAGCCATATCAGATTTGAGAAGTCATGTAGGAACTGTAGGGCAACTAACTAGTGCAGGGAGTGCAAGATAAGCCATGTGGCACCCATATATCTGTTTTTCCAGTAGCTTACCATCTTAGTCAGCTGCCTTACTTAAGCTAATGGAAGACCAAGTATTATACAGTAATTTTCATTGGCTGCACTTTTTCCAGAGGAAGAAAAAATGAAAAGGCAGGAAAGACTGTCTTAAGCATTTCGTCTCCAAAACATTAGGTGAGGAGAATCAGTTGCAAAATATTTCTAGACTATTGCAGTTTTGATAAGTACCATATTTTTCCATGTATAAAATGACACTTTTTTCTTAAATAATTTGACAGAAGGCAGCTCTTTACCACTGCCTTTTGTGAAGGCACAGGGCTTTAGCAAAAAGGAAGGGGAGCCATTGCTCCCTTTTTGCTAAACTCCGTGCCTTATCAAAAGGCGAGGATGCGCTGGGCTAAAGCCCCACGCCCCTCACCTTTTGAGAAGGCAGGGAGTTTAGCAAAAAGGAAACAAAGGCTCCCCTTCCTTTTTACTAAGCTTGGTGCCTTCTCAAACGGCGAGGAAAAGCGGCAGTTACTTTGACAGCCGCTTGCCTTGCCTTTTGCCAAGGCACGGGGTTTAGCCCTTTGATCCCTGCTTTTTCTAATTTGGGGTTAGAAAAGGGGGGTCATCTTATACTTTGGGTCGTCTTATAAACAGAAAAATATGGTAGTTTATTTCATTGTCACACCAACTGTATGTAGTTTAAGAATATAACTTATGACTTTTGATATACAGCAGGATAATCAATGATTTTGGTCAGCTCACATTTTACAAAAACAAGACAGAGTTCTTCTCTTCCCCCCCCCACACACACTTTCCCACCTATTCAGTTTGGCTTCTCCACTAATGACAGTAGAAATACCAACGTGGAGAAAGTAAATACCCCCAGATAGGTTTGTTTCACTTAAGCTGCCATTACAACAATCCTTTTTATGAGATTAACTTCCACAATATGTCATATATATTCACTGTGCCTGCATGAATCTGTTATTCTCATAACTTATGCATGCTGGCCAGTGGCCAGAATCCTACCAGGATTTAGCTCTAGAGTAAATGAAATTGTAGATACCATGGTGGCTACCATATTTTTCCATGTATAAGACACTCCAATGTATAAATCGCCCCCCACTTTTCTAATCCAAAATTAAGAAATCTAAGTGGCGATTAGCAAGTGTAGGGGGAAAGATATCGAAGCGCTGCAGGATCACTTTGATCCCTACTTTCCTCTCCCAATTGTTTTTGTTCTCTCCTCAGCTTACTTCCGTGTATAAGACGAACCTCAATTTTTAGTCTAAAGATTTTAGACAAAAGTATAGTTTTATACATGGAAAATACGGCAATTAGCAAGATGTCTAATTGTGTCTCAGGTATCAGGCAGTTAACTGGTGCCTTATTAATTAGCTGCAATTCACCACCAAAATTTTTCCCACTTACTCTGGAGTGAAATCCTGATAGGATTCTGGCTACTGTGTGCTTTGGAGGTGTGTGTGTTTCCTTCTGTGTCTCTCAGGGGACACAGAAGGAGACACAGATAAAGAATGGAACAACTGTGAACAAACGACTCCTGGGCAACAACAGCGTCCTGTTGGCAGATTCTTCCACTTCAGAAAAACCACTGAATTGCTTCTAATACAAATGAAAAACTAAATTACTTACAAGGCAGGAAGTTTTGAAAGAGCTGGAGGAGCTAAAGGAGAGCCATCAAGAACCAGAAGAAGGTGTTTGGAGTAACCACAAGGTTAGCAAAGTATGCCCTCCCCAAACAAGCTCCCCGTCAGAAACAACCATAATGAGAGAAAACAACAACACAAGAAACATCCAAGTGATAACTGAATACTGTACGCCCAGTAGTCATGGAATGCTAGGTATCAATTAGAAAGTAAAAGTCATGGGGGTGGGTAGGAGGAGTGAATGTTTCACTTAAACATACAGAATCCTGGAAGGCAGGCAACAATTTTCAACAGAAGCAGTGCACTGCTAGGAAGCAAGCATATACTGCTGGTGTGGGTTGCTGCAGGTCCCACTTGCTATGGTGTAGGTCTTTAAGTACAAAAAACAAACATTTCTCCTTTGAATCTTGCTCGTTCTGATCCATAAGTGCATTATTTCCATTCTCATATAGCTTTGCATAGGATCTCTGATTCCTGGATTTGAAACATATGTTTTCTAAATTTAGAATTCTAGCAACTCTGATTCTTGGATTGGTTATATATGGTTGCTGAATTTGTAATTCACTATTTAGGAATTTATTAATCATACTTTTCAATAAAAAAAACTGAAAAGCTATTTCATATCTTTATATAACATTGCTTCTTGAACCAGAGAAATAGAAACAACTATTTTGATTTCAAAGAGAGTCCAAAGAGCAAAGAACTGCAAACCTATTCAGATTTTTGGAGATATCACAAGATATCTTACTGAGCAGTACACAATCTACTGTTGCTAACTCTGCTGTTTTTCCCTTCCCCTCTTGCAATCTCTCCAACACCTTCTGATGTTCTTTTTCCAGTTATAAAAAGAACAAAAACTATTTAAACAACATCACAGAACAGAGGTTACAAAAGTATGCTGCAAGTTGTATTTCATGTCACAGAATTAAGTCCTACAATCTTTGTCTGAGTCTAGAAGAGCACCACATTTAATTAGTTTATATATTCCAAAAGAAGGGTCTGATCCAGATACAAAAAGGTACATCATTTGAAATTCAATTACCCTCCACTCTAGATGGCTGCAAGTTGATGAATGTCTTGTCCTTACTGAAAAGCATAGCATCCGCAATTATATCTTGCTATGCTAAAGTTCTGTTTATAACTTTACAGCTGCAATGACACATTCACACTTGCAAGTAAACATATGTGAACCAGACCTCAGATTTCAAAAACTCTGTGACCATGTTAAATAATGAAGACCTCGTTTCAATGCCAGGAAGGATGCAAGTTTTTAACTTTTTGGGCTGTACCGACATGCCAAGCAGTAACAGAAACAGGACATACAGCAAATACCTTGGCATTTAACAATGGCCTTTTTACAAATGCAGACTTTGAACGGAGAGTCATCCTGATGAAACTCTCCAGAAGCCTCAACAGGGGTCTGAGAGAGCTGCAACAAAATTTCATGTCTTTTTAATGAATGCTATTTTCACAAGCATCAGCACTTTCATTCTCATTTTAAAGTTCATCTTTGATACTGAAATTAATTAGAGAATATATCCCAGCAGGAATGTTTTCAAAGAGACTTTTTGAATAAAAGCACAGAGATCAGAATATATGAAGAGCTATTTACATGGCTGCCTTCTCTATCAGTTCTGGCATCAAGCAAGCTCTTGCCCAGTCCTTTCCTACAGTCAATACTTGAAGTAGGATTCCAGAACTTTTTTTTTAAATACCCTAAACTTTCCATAAAGTTAAACATCAAATATGTAGACAAATTATCTTTATCTGCCACTTGATACGTTGGCTCAGTGGTGCCTCGCAAGACAATTGCCTCGCGGGATGATTAATCCGCAAGATGATTGGTTTTTGCGATCACTGTTGCGCTTTGCAAGACAATGTTTTCTATGGACAATTTTCGCAAGACGATGATTTTTCCCCATTGGAACGCATTAAATAGATTTCAATGCATTCCAATGGGGAATCGTGTTCCGCAAGACTATGTTTTCTTTGGACGATTTTCGCAAGACTATGTTTTTTCCATTGGAACACATTAGATTTCAATGCATTCCAATGGGGAACCGCCTTTCACAAGACGATGTTTTCGCAAGACATTTTTTTAGCTGAACGAATTAACATCATCTTGCGAGGCACCACTGTATCCCACAATTTCACTTCTAGATTAGTTCTGGTGAAAATTCAAACATTTTAAAAGACAGTGGTGCCTCGCATAGCAATGTTAATCCGTGCAGCAAAAATCGCTGCTAAGCGATTTCGTCGCTATGCGATTTTAAAAAGCACATAGGAATGCATTGAAATCCCTTCAATGCATGTCTATGGGCTTAAAACTCACCTTAAAGCAAAAATCCTCCATACGGCGGCCATTTTCGCTGCCCGGTAAGCGAGGAATCCGTCCCTAAACACAGCAGGTGGCCATTTTTTTTACCCGGCGGCTATTTTGAAACTACCTATCAGCTGTTGGAAAATCATCGCTATGCGATGATCGGTAAGTGAAACAGCGAACCGGTCATCGCAAAGCGATTTTTCCCTATAGGGAACATCGCAATGTGATCGCTTTTGCGATCGAAAAATCTTCATCGCTATGCGGTTTCATCGTTAAATGGGGCGCCCGTTAAGCGAGGCACCACTGTATAGTGAAATTGTGTGCATTTCCTAACTAATACCATAAAACCAAGAACTTTTATCATATTATGATCAATTTAATAATCACTCTTGTATGCATTGTTCAGTGACAAATAAAATACCACCAGACTATTTAAATACTGGCATTATAATTATCTTATAGTAAAACAAATTCTAATATCCTCATCTGAATCTTGTTTCAGTCGCCAAAAACTTAGTGAACTGTCTGAACATATTTCCATTTGAATGATGAGTGAATATACTGTAATTCTGTAATTCTCAAAATATGTTCTTCCAAAACTTAACAAAACATTGTTTGAACAACAAATTAGTGCGTTTAATTACAGTATCTGTGATTCAGTTCTATTTTTCTCTGTAACTGCTCTTTGGTCTAATGCATGTTAATGAAAGTTTAATTTAAAAATAATAAAACCCAGGTTAGCATAGCAAAGCATTGATTCATTCCCATTCACTAACTATTAGAAATGATGGCTCATTTTCTTGCTCACTGTTTCTGACAAATCAACTGTTCATTCAAAATCAGTCTGTCGACGTTAAACTTTCAGCAGCATCCTTTGGACCCACAGCATCCTACGGAAGACTGTACAGGGGCTTTTACCTCCATCTCTTCTACCAGTCTGAATGGATTAATTATCTTCTCCTATTTTTAAAAAAAGGATCAAAATGAGAGAGGAAGAAGTTGGACTCCAATTACAATATTAAATTCATTGCAAACGCAATGTAAATGGAGAAAGCAATATGCATTGAAACAATAAAACGATGCAACGATGGAAGAGTCAAAGCCCTGGAAACTTATTATCTTTATGGCACAGTGTATTTGTATCAAAACTGTTGTTGTTGTTGTTGCCATCAAATCCCTTCTAATTTATGACAGCTCTACGAATTAAAATCCCTCGCTGGGTATTTTCAAGAATCAATTAAAAACATGGATGTTTAGGCAGGCCTTCCCATCAGATAATTCCTGACGTCCTTTCTTTTCCCTTTCCCACATCTTTTCTATTCTATTTTAGTTTGTTTGTAATGTAAAACTATTTTATATGTATATTTATTGTATTATGTGTTATGTTGTTAGCCGCCTAGAGTGGTTCTCACACGACCAGATAGGCGGGATATAAATAAAATAAATAAATAAAATAAAATCCTCTGTAAGGTTAACTATTAATATTCCTACTGTGTTTCCCCAAAAATAAGACAGAGTCTTATATTAATTTTTGCTCCAAAAACGCTTTAGGGCTTATTTTCAGGGGATGTTTTATTTTACTGTCATGTCATCTTCTGGTTGCTGCACAATGCTGCACAATGGTGGAGACCAGGGTTTCACTTGACTAGGGCTTATATTTCGAGCATCCTGAAAAATCATACTAGGGCTTATTTTCAGGGAAACAGGGTATTGTCCCTAAAATAGAATCAGAGAGAATGTTTATCCTTACAGCACTCTTTCAAGGCAGGTCAAGCAGAAGATAATGCACCTAAAGACATCAGGCAAACTAGATTATTTAAATCTGGGGAATATCTACATCCCATATATGCAATCACAACTTTTTTTTGTCTCTTACTGCTATTGTCATGTTACAATGGCTGAAATTCTATTGCACAGAGTAATATGTTACACTAAAGTAGGCCTACTGAATCACTGGGAATTTGGTAAGTCAGCTCCTCTGTAAGTTCCATTGATTCAAACAGGCCTACTCTAGTTGTCACTTGCTTTACAAATTGCACGGAGTAGGCCTATATGAATCAGTGGACCTTACAGAAGAGCTAACTCACCAAATCCCAATGATGCAATGGGTCTACTCTAGTGTGACTTCATATGCTAAGCAAAAGGATTTCAGCAAATTCCCTTTTTTTAGACACAACCATGTCTAAACACAAAATATATTAAAGTGATTATGTACTGGCTAGGGCGAATACTTCTTATATTTTCATCCTTACTTTATTCTTCCCATAGGGCCTTTCCTCTCTACCATTCTTTGTGTTCCAGCTGTAAGGGCCTGGCTAGGTATAAAGGGGGTTGTAGTCTAATGCATCTGGATGTTACCATACTATCCTAAAATACCATGTGGCTTTACTGATACAGTATCCTCTAGCAAATGCTTTATATAAACCAGTACTGATCAAAACTGTGAAAAGCAAACATCACATTCCTCGTTGCATCAAATTCTATTGGGAACGAACTATTTCTTCCCCAAACACTTGGAAGTAAAGAAATTCCACCATTCAAAGAAATGCTGAAAAGATACTATATGACTACTAGCTGTCACTTTCAAACACTTTATATGACTGAACTCTTCATTCACAATTGATATACTTCGTATGTGTAAAGATGCAGTCAGTTAGTTTCTCTTTACTTTTTCACACTAATATTTCCGGAGGCCATTCATAGCATTGAAACCACCAGCAAGAGAAACCACAATGCGGCAGTAGAGGAAAATAAATGTGTGTGCAGTAGGTGGTGCTGTTGCATGTTTCAAAACCACAACGTAACATTGGTATGATGGTGACTGGGAACTTGGAACTGTCTCAAGCAGCAGAATGCCAAAACCATTTCTGGCAGAATAAAGGGTATATTCTGGCCAGTTTAACTGCACTGGATGAGACTTTGTGGGAGTTGTAGCCAAATACATCTGAAAGGCACCAGATTCAGGAAGGCATTTCTAAACATAACAAAACTCCCACATTTGTTGTTCCCCGTATCTAATATTTAGATATCAGCCCCCTTTTAAAAGCCATCAAAATCAATAACCACTTTTGCATTGCGTGGCACTTTAACTACTTGAGTTAATTACTGACTGTGGAAAACTGGTAACTCCTTCTGTTAGGGACAATCTGAAATTACTATTGTGCAATTTTACAGGCTGTCTCTAAGCTATAGCATTATGTGGAGGAACAGTAAGAGGATACTGAAACCTTAGGACTAAAAAAAACACCAAGTTTCTATGGACCACCACCCCTTTCCTCCGATTCACATCACTGATTAACAAGCACCTCTCACAAGTATGATGAAAGGGGGAAAAAGTCACACCCTAACCATTCTTGCCCTTTACGAAACTCCATGTTCACTTTCTTTGAGAAGGAAGTAGTGCTTCCTTTCTGGCTTATAACTTGTCCCAGGGTTTTCTAGGCATAAAGTAAACAGAAGTGACTTATCACCCTTCTGGAGGCACCCTAGCACTGTGCAGCCTGTGTAATCTTCTTCCAAGAACTACTACAAGGAATCAAACATCGGACCTCTGGCTCCACAGATCCTACAGTATGACTGTACTTGGCAGTGGTACCTTGTTAGATACACCTATCCCAAACTGTAGCCATCAATGGTGGTGGCAAAACATTTATTGAAAGTTTTGGTTGATGCTGCAAGCAGATGGTGGTGGCCTAGTACAGTGGCGCCTCGCTTAACGACGATAATCCGTTCCAGGAAAATTGCCGTTAAGTGAAAACATCGTAAAGCGAAATTAAAAACCTCATTTGAAACCCATTCAGTGCTTTCCAATGGGGTAAAAACTCACTGTCCAGCGAAGATCCTCCATATGGCGGCCATTTTCGCTGCCTGTATAGCGAGGAATCTGTCCCTAAGCACAGTGGGGAGCCATTTTAAGCACCCGGTGGCCATTTTGAAAACCAGACGATCAGCTGTTTTTTATTGTTGTAAAGCGAAAATCGTTTCCCGAAGCAGGGAGCCGATCATCGCTAAGCGAAATTCCCCCATTTAGACCATCGTTTTGCAATTGCAATCGCAAAAAGATCGTCGTAAAGCGGATTCGTCGTAATGCGGGGCAATCGTTAAGTGAGGCACCACTGTACTGGCACTTAAGGACAGTTCTCTTCATCTGCATCTGCTAGTACCACCACATTAACAGCAACAATCCTACATGTCATGAGTAGCACTTGTAGTGTGTGGCATGAACAAGATACGGCATGCCACCCAGACTCAGTCAACCTTCTCATTCATTACCATCTTCCAAGTTAATGGCATCAGTTGCAGTAATTCCTGCCAGGGTTTTAGCATGTGCCAGGGACACTGCATGCTGGCATGAAGCTTGCTAACAGCAATCGAAAAAGTGAGAACTAGGGACTAGCAAATGGAACTGGGGAAGAAGTAAAACATGACTCTGCACTGCTGAACCAACAAATCTGGATGACTATCTATACAATACACAGTAACATTTTCAAAAATCAAAACTGAACAGTGCCAGGAAAGATCTCCATTACCGGTACGTCTTATTTTGGTCCTTAGCTGACATTTTAAAATGAATTTTTTAAAAATTCCTGGGCAGCAAAAGCCAGACTATACTTTATATGTACATCTGCGTAAAACTGCACAAAAATACAACCACTCTGTATCTACACCCAGCCACAATTGCTAATAAGCTGTTTAGTAATCTAATGTAGGTGTACTCATTCACTTTATGTGAGACTCTTTAATGTGTACATCAATCAAAACCATCCAGTTATGGTTTAGGATCCTTTTTTAATTAATTTTTTAAATTTTAACTATAACGTAAACATAAAATAATGTACATAAACCAAAATACAAATTAACTGTGTTCCCCACCACCATAGATGGGACCTCTTGCAATAATCTTCTTCTTCCTTAATCTATAGTCTTCTTCTTTTATTGTCCTCTTCTACAGAACTGCATTGATTCTTGATTTGGAGCTTTCCCTTTCCTCTTGTTAGCACATATTCCAAAAATCTGCCCCATATCTCATAAAAATTATTCTTTTTCAACTCTCCTTTCTTAGCCTTTAAATTACAAGTTAGCTTATCATTTATAGCTACATTCCATATTTCATTATACCATTCATCCATTCAAAATTCAGATTTGATTTCCGTTGCCTAGCTCTTATTAGTCTACCTGCTGTTAATAAATTGGTAATCAATTCTTTAGTCATCATATTCCACATTCTCAAATATTGATAAAGCAATCTGAGGATTAAATTCTATATCTTTTTCACATACGTCATTTAGTTCTTTAAAGATTAGTTTCTTTAGGATTTAGGCTCCTAGGTTTAAAATCCTATAATAAATGGATTGTCTAATTCAACCCTTAAGGGAGGAGAAAGAAAGAAAATAGTGCCCTTGGCATTTAATTAAAGTCTTACAGTACTACTAGGCTCTTGAAAGCTAAATGCAAGGCCAGGGAACATGGTTAAAAGATCAGGAACAGATAAAAGTGCAAGGCCAACCACTGCAATCCTAGGAATAGTATTTCTATACACCGTAAAAAGAAGAAAAAGACCTAGGATTATAGCTAAATTGCCAACCAAGAAAATGGTTAACTCCTGACACAAGTCCACAGCCATGGATTGCTCACTCCCTTGGATTTCCTATCTTTGAATGTAAGATAATACTCATGTCACAAGAGTGCAGAGATTATTAATGAATGGGCTAAGAAGACAATAGGTATTGCTCTGACAATTGATAACAGAGATAAGGAACCTTTGCCTCTCCACATGTTTTGGACTCTCATCTCTCCAGTCAGTATGGCCAATGATAAGGAATTATAGCATAATAGTACAAAATATCTATAAGGCAAGATTCTTCAGCTTTGACTTACAGACTGGGAGCCTGCTTGCACCAGCAAATTTGTGTGGTTGCTCACTTTTTTTTTTAAAAAAATTACTGATTCTGTGGCCCTTT